TGCGAAGGGATTAAATATTGAAAGCAATATCACATTACTATATATTCAATAACTATTATTTCACATTATCAATGAAAATAATTTGTTTATTTTAAGTTTTGGGATATTTCTTATCGTTATAATTATAAAAAAGTCCGATTTTAAATTTAGGACATTAAATTAGAAATAATAATTGATTGTATTCTGATGAAACATGGTACTTAGAAAATTTTAGGCAGATTACGAATCCAAAGTAATTAACTTTTGACCGCGGGGTTATAAAGGGTAAAACTCATGAAAAAAGGTGCATTTTCGAAAAAAATATGTATGTTGTGAGAATCAACAAAAAGAATTAGTTTCTCGTTTTCTCTATAGATGAAAACGGATCGATTTATATTTCCATTCTAAAAAGTATTAAAAATCTTTTATTCATATTGTGACATGGAGAAGCCGAAAGTGTAAGACGAAAATTGTAACGGTACAAATGATTTTATAAGATTAGATTTAAATTTTTTAGGTAAGTAGTACGTATGTTTACGTACAAGAAGTGAGAATGGTGGTGGGATTGGATGGGTGAATGGTTGTATGGTGTCGCAGGTACAGCATCAGCTCCATCGGCACCAACAATGACTGGAGTCTCTGCCATGCTTCTCTCTCTGTGCTTTGTGTTCGTGACCATCTGAGTCCTTCTCAAGGCTTCCGTCGCAAGATTCGGCATGTTATGATCTCCTTATCACGTGAGTTCACTCACACTTTACCTCAACTCAATCATTAAATATATCAAAATTTAAAAAAAACATTACAATAAAAAAATTGTTCCTGAGAAAAATAAAAACTCCGATATCAATAATTTATTATTCTAATAGCATACTTTTCCAACACAAGACCAAAAGTGCATGAAAAATAACGAATGAAATATGACATGCTTTTTGTATTTCAATTTTTGATCTATCTCTTTATACCTACAGATACACGATGTTACAAAAGTAAGAACATGGACAAATATCTCGAAAACATTTAAAAAATTTATGTTTCATTTTTTTATTATTCCCCTTTTTTCGAGACATTTGCCTCTATATATTTTTGAGATATCTTGTATGACATCTACCTTCTATGAACGCATGGAATTTGGCCTTTTCTCGGAATTTATATCATATAACTATTGCATTTATCTTTCTCCTTTGTCTTCTTGTCTATATAATATACACATTTTTCTTTCCTCCTGAAAAAATTGTCACTTTTATCAAAATTTTTAATCGAAATTTGTGCAATAAAATATTTTCCGGCATTCATTCATTTTAATTATCATAAATCGCATATACATTTACAAAATATTTTTATACTAAAGTCAGTTTATCTCTGACGAAAGTTTCTAAAATATCTTAACTGGATATTATTCTGAAATTTTTATTCGACAATTTTTTCTGACAAAAAATCTCCGAATGTTTGAACCACTTTAAATCTACTGCATCTAATTATATTATATTTATGAATTTGAATACTTTTATCATATTCTTGTGCATTTCTTTAATATACATATATGAAGGTGTAAAACAATTGATGAATAACATTTCAGAATAAAATTAATTTTTTTTATGAAAAACAGGGCTCAAAAGATATCTCTGGGTTTTATGGAATTATTTATATTTTCTTAGGTTTAGTTAAACTTATTTGGTTTTAAGGAAAGAAATTTAAACTTAAAATTTTATAAAATCAAAATTGAATAAATTTTATATACATAATTCAAAATTTGCAATAATAAATTTAAAGTTGAATAAAAGTTGATTATACTGAATTTTGGACAGAGTTAGAACTTGGATAAATTTGTCTTTTTAATAGATTAACATTTGAATAAACTGAATGTTAGATTAATTAGAACTAGAATTCAAATTTCGATGGATTATAATTTTAATCCGGGTATACATCAAGTAATTGAAATTCGGTCCTCTGAAATGTGACGAAAAACGTTGATAAATTACAGCTTGTATCAATTGAATCATTTATAAAAAAGAAAAAGTTAAAATCTATAATTTCTTTATCTTTAAATTAATTTAAACTTAGGAATGTTACAAGAATATTCTCCGTAAGGTAATAAATTTCTTTTAGTTATTTAAAAAAGTTGTACAAGATAATTCTATTTTAATTTCTAGTGCAAGACAATTCAAATTCGTAATTTACTGACCGTGGAAATTTACACAGTAAATCGTGAAGTGTTAAAATAACACCAGAATGGATTAAAATAATCTGCAACAGATTACTTCCTCTAGGAGTAAATTAACACCAGAAAGGTATTATCTTGGTGTTATTTTTGACTATGAATGAAATTTTACTTTAAATCGAACACCAAGTCAACGATTTGTCAAAATTCGACAAATTTAGCTATTCACCTGGGACAATAATTAATTAGTAACTAACTTACTAACTAACGAGCTAACTAACTTTCTAACTTACTAGCTAACTAACTTAAAAACATAATTACTAATTAAGTTACTAACTAACCTACTTACTTAACTTAGTTACTAACTTACTAACAAACTTACAAACTTAATTGCTAATAACTTAATTAACTTACCAACTTATAACCAGGGCCGGATTTATATAGAGGCAAACTAGGCAACTGCCTATGGGCCCCCACCATCTAAAATATTTTTTACAAAAAGTGTAAAAAAAATTTTTTTTAAGGGGACACCTAAGTCACCTAAAAACAATGCAAAAAGAGTCAACTTTCGGTACACTTTTCTCGAAAACTATTATTCCAATTGCGTTCGCCCTTTTTTTATTCGATTACAAATATAATCAAGTATATGAATAAGAAGTAATACGACGTTATCTTCAATAGAAACTTTTTTATGAATATTTATACCCAAAGCAAAATAAAAATCCCATTTTCTCTGATTCATTGACTCATATCTCCGTTTGTACAAATCAAAATGATGTTAAACTTCTTATTCGTATTCTTGGAACCTTACTGAACAAAGTAAAAAAAAATTACAAATCGGTTTAGTAGATTCGGAGAAAAGTGGACCGAAAGTTAAAAAATTGGAAAAAAACAATTTTTACAGGAGACACGAAAAAAGAAAAAATACTAAAAACTCATGGTATTCAGAATCATGTAATCAGATTTTTTCAACTCTTCAGAAAAGGTTTTAAAAAGTCTTGTTCTATTCCTAATTGAGTCTACTTTTAGAAAATCAAATTTAAAAAAATCGATTTTTTTGTCATTTTTCCACTTAGGTGTCCCCTTAAAAAAGTATTTTACAAAATAATTTTAAGTGTTTAGAAATTTAAGTAGCGCGCTTAATTCAAATATAGAATATACTTTACTTAAAATTTTAATCTTAATAAATTTTTGAAAAACCCTTTCTTTACATGGGACCCCACCAGGGTTGCTTAGGGCCCCCTGTCAAGTAAATCCGGCCCTGCTTATAACTTTATTAACATTAACTTACTAACTAACTTACTAACATACTAAGTAATTTAATTACTAAGTTAGTTATTAACTAACTTAGTAAGGTAGTAAGTAAGTTAGTTAATTAGTAACTAAGTTAAGGAAGTATGTTTAAGTTTGTAAGTTAGTTAGCTAGTTAGTTAGTTAGCTAGTTAGTTAGTTAGCTAGTTAGTTAGTTAGCTAGTTAGTTAGTAGGTTAGCTAGTAAGTTAGTTAGTTAATTAGTTATTAAGTTTGTAAGTTTAGTTAGAAAGTTAGTAAGGGTCCATTCATTAATTACGCAAGGGTTTCTAGGAGAGGGGAAATTTGGAAAATCTCTACATGACCATACGTCAAAAAAAAATAGTTTCACCTTCGGGAATGATATTTTGTATATTAAAAATTATACATTTGAGTTATTTCACTTTTTTGTGAAAAATGAGTTTTTTATATCAATGGATTCGTAAAAAAAAACTGCATCTACTTATGTTATTAAAAAAATTTTATTTTAATTATTTATTGCAAAAAATAATTATTAAAAATCTGCGAAAATCGAGAAAATAAGGAAATACTTGAGAAAAAGTATAGTAACTCGAGTTACGTAGTGTAAAAATCGTAGAAGGCAATGAGCTCGAGCATAAGATAAGAAACAAAAACTTAGTCAAGTCGACATAATATGTCTGCAATCAAAAACATAGTGAAAAGTCAGCTTTCTTTTTGAAGCAAAAACCTTAAGTCGAGTTAACTGAGTTCTTCTTTCGAAAAGTGGCATGAGCCAGACACTGTGTTTCGAAAGCAGACTCCTTAACTCCTTGACTGAGTTCTTGCTTCTGATCGGCGGCCTGAACTCGACTACCTTTTCGCTGAGCACTCCTTAAGTCAATTTAACTAAGTTTTGCTTTTAAAAATAACACTTAAGTCCATTATTTAATATAATTTGTTTAAATAATTCATTTTTGACTGCAGAATTAAAAAGAACTCTATCAATTTACCTAGGAAGTAAAGTTAAATTAAATAATTTTTTATACTATATTAGGTTTATTAATACAAACAGTTTTTCGTCATTTTCTCGGTTTCACTGAAATATGACTTGACTAAGTTTTTACCAAGTACGACAGTCTTTGACTCATGTATAGAAGTAATATTGGAAATTTGAGAAATTTGTTTTCGGTGACCCAGTTCAAAAATTTTCACTCTGCATAGATTGTACTGCACTAAATATAATGTTGAAATAGACTTTTTTTGCACAACTGTTATAGATAATTTTATATTGCACTTGTTTTCCATATAGAATTGTTTTTATTGATGTTCAAGTTTATGTATACAGGAGGCGTCGAAATAGAGAATAATGAAGGAAATATTGAAGGGAATTGACAGAGTCGCTATTATTGTTTACTCTATTTTCTAAAGGGTTTTTTGGTTTTCGTATGGCAGTTTAGTAGGTTTGAATTATTATGTTTACGCAAAGCGCGCACCCTTGAGATATCTTTGATTTAAAGAGAGCATTAAAAATGGGAGAATTCGGAAACTGTCGACAGGGAGGGAAAGGCTGTTGGAAATAGGAGAATGTGAAAGGATAATGTGAAAATTTGCAGGTCACGTGGAGGTTCCCGAGGACAACTACGCGATTCCAGCGGGCTGTGCTGTCATTGCCGTCCTAGTAGCTCTGTCAATTTGCTTTCTGTGCCATCGAAAGTTGAAGAGGCGCGTGCCGGAAGTGTCCATCGACGATTTGCAGCAGCGAGTCGAGGACAGACATCAGTGCTACCATCACCACAACCTCCTGCGCCATTACCAGACTCAGAGTCACAGTCACAATTTTAATCAGTACCAAATTCAGGAGCCGAGCCCACCCAGCGAGAGCGAAGCGGAACAGGAGCACGTGTGCGGCGACGATGCGAGCAGTCCCGACAGCGTGTGACCGTGGATGCTTGCAACGTGGTACAAAACTCTGCGTCCCTTGCACTCTCCCACGTTGCTTCCTGGACTCTTTCTTCTCTGCAATTTGTTGTTGTTGTTATTTTTGTCGCTGCCCGATGGAAGCACTCTCACCCACCGTCATATTCGTCAACGAAATTTACCCCAAATCACCCAATAAACTCAAATCAACTCAAATCAACTCAAATTCTTTTACAAATACTCATCCAAAATGGGGTGAATAGAGACTGAACAAAATGTTTTAATGAAAAGTCCGTCAAATCTACTATTAACTTTCAATATCATCTTCTGTTTGAAGAATAATTAATAAAATAATAGTTCTTCTGCAGACTGACACCCAAATAGTTTTCTTTTTTACAAGAAGAAATAAAAATTATATTTTTTCTTTAATTAATGCTTCCAATGAATACATTCAGGAAGGTTAAAAATATTGTAATTAACACGAGAAAAAACATTATTCCTCAAATTTTTATTCAACTTTTTTTCTAGACAAACTAATTATAAATTACTTTAATTTCAATAAATTTCGTCATTTTACTTAAACGATTTTAATAAAACGTGGGCTTCGGTGTTTTGATACTGCTTGTATGATAGACAACTCGAAATAATAGTGAATAAAATTCATTTTTTTACCAATAAATAATTAACAAATTGCTAATAGAAGTCATTGTAATCTTCTAACGATTTAAATATTAAACTTGAAGAGGAAGTAAAATTAAATTTATTAAATTATTCTAAGTAAAAGTGTTGTTTTTTATTTTTTATTTTTGAAAGGAATATTGTTTTAGAACTTTATTCATTAATTTTTTACAATTTCAGGACTCGAACTATAGTGAAAGTATTACGGACCAAAAATAAAAATTACGGATCATTTCAATTCAATTAATATTTTTAAGAATTTTCAACTATAAAATTCTTCTTTAAATCAATTATTTTTTTAAATTTTCGAAAAAGTTCTTTGGCAATTTTCAAATCCATTTGTTTACAATATTCAGTTTTACGAAATTCCAATTATTCGTAAATTCCTCAATTAAATATATATTAGAAAATAAAAACTTCAAATAATAGTAAAAAAAGTCAATTAAACTTTTACAAGAAAAATTAATTTAAAAATTCAATTACGTCTGAAAATTCACGCTTTAATTTAATGCTTTTAACATTTAATTATTATCTCAAATTTTAACTGAAATTAATTTTTAAATCAATTTTTATTAGAATTTTCAATTATTTTCAATTATTTAAATACAAAAATAAATAATTCATTGAATAATTAAATGTTTTTTAAAATTGAATTCTCATGAAAAATTTTATCAACAAATTTTTAAATAATTGAACTCCTTCGACAAATTTTAATAAAATTTTTAAGAATAATTACATTTTTCGAGAAATTCTATTAAAATTTTATTAAAAATAATTGAAATTCTGCAATGAGTTTTTATTTTTTGTGAAAATAATTGAATTCCTAAGAAGAATTTTATTATTTTTGAACATAATTAAATTTCTGCTAAAAATTTTATTATACTTGGAAAAAATTGAATTTTTGCAATAATTTGTAACTTTTTGCCAAAATTAAATTTTTTGGAGTGTATTTATCAAAAAATTTTCTGTAAATCCATTATTTTTAATAATTTTTAAAAAGGTTGTTTGAGATTTTTCAAATTCATTTGTTTACAATTGAATTTTACACAATTTCAAGTATTCGAAAATTCTTCAATTAAATGCTGTAATAGAAAGCAAAAATATAATTTCAAAAAAAAATGTCAGCAATTAAATTTAAAAAAAAAAAATTAATTCCACAGAATTGATAGTTCAAAAAAATTCAAATTTTCAAAACCTAATTTGAAATCTTTTCAAAATTCAATTATTTCTAAAAACTCACGCTAAAAATTTTCTAAAATTTGAATTATTATAATTATGATGAATTCTAAAAATTCTACAAGAATTCCATTATTTTAATACAAAAAAATTGATTTAAAAATGAATTTCAATTAAAATTTGAGATAATAATTGAATATTAAGAGCAATATAACGTGAATAAATTATAATGCTTTTAATATTTAATTGTAATCTAAATTTAAAAAAAAATCATTTTTACATCAATTTTTTAAGAAAATTCTACTAGAATTCAATTATTTAAATACAAAATTTAATTTATTGAATTTTTAAAATTGAATCCTCATAAGAAAATTTATCAACTTTTTAAATAATATTGAATTCTTTCGACGAATTTTAATAAAATTTGTGGGACGCATGATTATTCCCCAAATGTCATTTTACCGAACTTCTCTTTTGCGAATAGTCATTTTTGCGAAAAGCCAATTTTGCGAAATGTCACTTTTGCGAATTGTCATATTTACGAAAATCTATTTTTGCGAATTGTCATTTTTGCGAATAGCAATTTTTACGAATTGTCAATTTTTCGAAAACTCATTTTTGCGAATCGCCATTTTTACGAATTGCCATTTTTATGAATTGTTATTTTTGCGAAAAGCTATTTTTGCGAATTGTCATTTTTGCGAATCGATATTTTTACGAATTGTCAATTTTCCGAAAAGTCATTTTTGCGAATAGCCATTTTTACGAATTGTCAATTTTCCGAAAAGTCATTTTTGCGAATTGTCATTTTTGCGAAAAATACAATAGTGAATTTATAGATACCTACAAGTTTCTATTGTATTTTTCGCAAAAATGACAATTCGCAAAAATGACTTTTCGGAAATTTGACAATTCGTAAAAATGGCGATTCGCAAAAATGACTTTTCGGAAAATTGACAATTCGCAAAAATGGCAATTCGTAAAAATGACTATTCGCAAAAATGGCTTTTCGCAAAAATGACATTTCACAAAAATGTCTTTTCGTAAAAATGACAATTCGCAAAAATGAGTTTTCGAAAAATTGACAAATCGCAAAAGTGACAATTCGCAAAAATGACATTTCTCAAAAATGACAATTCGCAAAAATGTCAATTCGCAAAAATGACTTTTCCGAAAATTGACAATTTGTAAAAATGGCGATTCGCAAAAATAACTTTTCGGAAAATTGACAATTCGTAAAAATGGCGATTCGCAAAAATGACAATTCGCAAAAATAGCTTTTCGAAAAAATGACAATTCGCAAAAGTGACATTTCGCAAAATTGGCTTTTCGCAAAATTGACTATTCGCAAAAGTGCAGTTCGGTAAAATGACATTTCGGAAAAATGACATTTGGGGAATAATCATGCGCCCCAAAATTTGTAAGAATAATTATAACACTTTTTTCAAGGAATTCGATTAAAATTCCATTAAAAATAATTGAAATTTTGCGATGAGTTTTATTATTAATGAAAATAGTTTAATTCCTAAAAGGGAGTTTATTATTTATGAAAATAATTTAATTATTGCAAAGAAGTTTATAAAAAATTTGTAAATAATTGAATTTCTGTGAAATTTTTATTATTTTATGAAAATAATTAAATGTTTGCGTAGAATTCTATTAAATTTCTTCTAAATAATTAAATGTTTGCGTAGAATTCTATTAAATTTCTTCTAAATAATTAAATTCTTTGGAAAAATTTTTAAAAATAATTGAATTTTGAAAAATAATTTTATTATTTCTAAAGATAATTGAAATTTTGACTAGCATTTTTTAACATTTTCGAACATATTTGAATAATTAAATGTTTTTTTAAAATTAAATTCTCACAAACAATTTTATCAACAAATTTTGAAGAATAATTACATTTTTCGAGGAATTCGACTAAAATTGTTTTAAAAATAATTGAAATTCTGCAATGAGTTTTGTAGTTTATGAAAAGAATAATTGAAATTCTGCAATGAGTTTTGTAGTTTATGAAAAGAATAATTGAATTCCTAAAAAGAATTTTATTATTTACGAAAATAATTGAATTCCTGTGAAATTTTCATTATTTTATTAAAATAATTAAATTCTTTTGGAAAATTTGATTAAAATAGTAGATATATTGAAAATCATTGAATTGAGAGAAATTTTTAGAAATAATTGAAATTTTGCCAAGAATTTGATAAAAAATTTTGAAAATAATTAAATTTCGGAGAAGAATTTTACTATATATATTTCTAAAGATAATTGAAATTTTGACGAGAAGTTTTAAGAATTTTTGAACATAATTGAATTTCTGCGAAGAATTTTATTACTTTTGAAAATAATTGAATTTCTGCCATCATTTGTAATTTCTCTAAAATTCCCCAAATTATATCGTACAATTTACGAACTTTTCGTCCTTGAAAAGTTTTTCAATCAAATTACGGACTTTACGGACCTTTTTTTAAAAAAACCTGTTTTTTACGGACTTGAAGCAAATTAACGGACCTTTACAGGATTTTTGCACCTAATTCGAGCCCTGAAATTTTAAATTGATTGAGAATAATGGTATAATTTTATTGTTCTTCCCAGTAATCAATCTGCGATCTTATTATAGTTTCACGTCTCTGTGATGCCATTTTTTATAGCTAGGCAGACAAATTTTTTTCGTAATTTAAAATGATATTTTACCGAAGCAACTTGCCCCTTAATTTTGAAGAAAGCGGCAAAAACTTTGAGTCTGAATTGTGTGCGTGGAATTAAATAACAAGAACAACAGAGTACTATAACTAACTTTGACTATTGCCTTACATGAAAAACGTACGTACTTAAAATTGAACGATTATCTTTGAAAACAAAGTAAATGGCACTACTGGCACTACAATAGATCTATTTGACTCGATAAAGTTTAAAACGAATTGATATTCGCTTTGATGTGGTGAATGTAACCCCAAATAGTTCAACAAATTTCAAAAAATTTCCAGACAATTTGTGGTAATTAAAAATGTTCACCAAGTTCCTCTCTTTCATCTTTTCTATTGGAGTGTCATAACATATTTAGAATAATATTGATAATATTATTAATTTTATTATTTATTATCTTCCAAAAATAAAGCTATAAGTTTTTTACAGATTTACTGTAAAAACTTTCTCCAAATGCCGCATAAAATTTTTTTGCATCTTTGTAACCTTATAATCGCAGTTAAATATATTTCACTGTGTATTTTTCTTTAAAGTTTGTTGCAATTTTCCTGGAAAATATGCCTTTAAGGTGCAAATAAATTTATAATTGTTTAAGAAACAGACAAAAATACGTTTGCTATTAAGAGTGTAAGACTTTTGGGTCACAATTTTCAAAAGGCCTCTCTCATTCATTTTAATTCGATTAATTTCAAATCAGTTTTTGACATTTTTTATCATTTTTCTTAAAAAATGCGATTACTAATAAAAATTGCAATAATTTTTAAAACATAAAATTCATTTCAATAATAAAAATATAATTATTCATAAAAATTATTATAAGTATGTAATTCCTTTAAAATTCAATTGCTTTCTAGAATTTTTAACTAAATTTATTTCAAAGTTTAGTAATTTCTTAAAATAAGTATCTCAATTTTATTAAATTATTATCAATTGGAATTTTTAAAACATTTTACTT